TACAACAGGGGGTACCTTCACTGTTTCAGCTGAATTAATGCTACGTTTATATAGTTTAGTTCCCTTTTAAATAAAATTTTAAAATTAAATTTTTGTAAATAAAAGGACATGTGCTACATGAGCTTCTCCCTTGTAGATCTGATATGATTTGATTTTAAATTAATTAAAATTTAATATAATTTTTGGATGTAAAAGTGTAATATCCCAAAATTTTGTGATATTTTAGCACTTAGTTAAGGACTTGATTGTGAGGAAATATTATTTGGGGCTTAATAGTCAAAATTTTGAACTTGAGGGACTTAAAAGAGAAAAGGATTTGGATAAGGATCAACTATTTTCTTTCCTTCTTTCTTCTTCCTCACCCACGTGTTTCTCTTCTTCTTCTTCTCCCCTGCAGCCGAACAAAGGCCCCCAAGCCCGACAGCACCTCCCTTGAAAAACTGGTAGAAAGCTTGGATATTTCTCCTTCTTTTCTTGTTCTAGGACTGAAATTGAACCCATAATTCTTCCCCTTGCAGAGAAATTCCAGATCTGCTCGGTTTCTCCCCCTCCCCTTTCCGTGAGCTGCAGCTTGTGATGCGATTTTTGGGCTTTTTTTGGTAAGCAACAGCCATTAAATTCTCTATTTTTCCTTGAATTGGCTTGGGTTATCTTTGATTTCTCTTGGTTCTCCAATTTTTGGAATAGATCCCGAATTTCTCCCTAAATTGCCGCCGGCCTTCCCTTAGCTTGCAACTCCGGTTTGCTTGCGGGAATTTTGGTAAGTGGCAACTCCATTTAAGTCCCAAATTACCCATTAGTTGCTGGAAATTTGTCTGTTAAATTGCTGCCCTATGTTGTCCGAAAATCTGTTGAAAAATGGGGATAAAATTTGACAGTAATTAGACCATGATTTAGCTTAATTCATGTAGAAAATTAGCTTAATTCATGTAGAAAATTCAAAAGTAAGTATGACTGATTTGAAGTGAAATTTTATACTTTTCATTAAATTGAGAATGCTTACTTGAAATTTAATTGATTGTCCTGATGATCTGAAAGTGATTGGTGAGTTATGGATTTTCTGTTAACTTCTACATGTTTTATCTCCGATGTGGTCATGTTATTAGTGACCCTACTAATGGGGGTTTATAAACGCTAGCACATGTCGACATATTATTGATAGAACCGGTTTGTCCGAGTGACCCTACTAATGGGGGTTATACACTAGCAAATAGTGTAGCCTGCCAGTGGGAGGTTTATAACGCTGGCCATGACCTACAGGAGAGACATCTATTTCGTTCCCGTACTATATCTGTTTTTCTGATTACACTTGTTGGCATGCTATGAGTTTAATTAAGGGCTATCCATATTTACTTACTGAGTTATCTCACAGTTTTTCCTTGTCCACCATTTTAGGAAACGAAGTCAAGGACAGGGAAAAACAAGGGGAGTGATGAGTTAGAAGGCTAGCCATATTGTAATTGGATATGAAATTTTAGATATAAATCATGATCTTGTAAGTTTGTAAGTTAGACTTTATTTGAAGATTTTATGATATCGGAGCAAATTTTATAATTTTATCTTCAGATTTTATGGTATCTGTCACGCCCTAAACCTCGGAGCGAGACAGACGCCGTGCACTTGTGAGCGGGGCCCACAAATGCACAAGGCTCGGAACCTATTGAGTTCTTACTTAGCAATTCAGACAATTCAGACAATTCAGACCTAAACCTTTTTTTTTTATTTACCAAATATTTACCAGTCAAGATGTACAAAATTTATCACTTCATATATACAATCATGACTAAAATTAAGGAAGTTCTGTACACAAAATTTCTAAGTCAAGCATGATGACTAACGGCCTAGCTACAAAAATCTAAGTCCAAAAGTGCCTAGCCGTCTAGCTCGTCACTCCCCTGGACTCCTCATGCGTCGAGTCTCACTACTTGAAATGGTGGACAAGGAAAACTATGAGATACAATATCTCAGTAAGTAAAAATATGGATAGCCCGTAAATAAAATTTTAGCATGCTTGATAAACAGTTCAACATAACAAAACGTTCAATGCAGAAGGAAATTCAGTAGTAGCCTCATCTATAAGTCATGGCCAGCATTTAACACCCATTGGCAGGCGTCAGAATTTACCAATGTGTTCGCCCATTGGTAGGCGTCGGAATTTGCCAATGTATTCGCCCAGTGGCAGGCGTCAGAATAAACCGGTCATATCAGTAAACATGTCGACATGTGCTAGCGTTACTCCCACTAGTGGGGATCAGAAATCATGACTATATCAGAAACAAAACCATGCAGGATTTACAGAAAATTCTGGAATTCACGATCAATCTCAATTTCCAGAAATAATCAAAAAAATTTCCATGTGAGCATGGATCTAACAAGAAAATCATAATTTACAAAATTCTCAAATCATCAAAGCAGTTCAGTAAATTCCAAGTGGGCATGCTCTACTTAATGAAAATGAGAATAATTTATTTCAAATCAATCATGCTCGGTGCTAATAAAATCTATTTAAACCTTGCCACCATCTCAAAAAACAAATTAAAACATGTTTGAAATCGAAGGGCATTACCATAATTTACTTACCTCAATCGCAAAAAGTAGAAAACTCACTCCAAGAGCTAGGATGATAGAATAATCAAGAACCTAACCAAAATATTCCAGAATTAATAACCATATGAAAACTACCTATTTAATTCTTTTCAATATTGCCGGCAATTAACCTCCATAATGCAATATTTATTTTTTTATTTACTTTATTTTATTGTACTTCCTATCTGAAATTTGAGCTCTAAAAATCATATTGTGCATTTATATTTAATTTCCAAATCTCATAGACAAAATGGAGGAATCGGCTTGGCAAAAATAGCTAATTCACGGGAATTTCATAGAATTTTCCCACAATTAACATCACAGCAACCACAACAAGCAAATTCCACATGAATTAACAAAAAAAAACACAATTAAGTTGCCGAAATCTTCCATTCTTCCCTTGGCAGCATTCGGACAACACAGGGAAACCACACAAGGACCAAATTCAGCAAAGCAACCACTAATTAGATGAAATTTGGACTTAAAAGAGTTGCCACATACCAGAAAAATTCAGCAAAAACCGGAGCTATGGCTTGGGGAGACCGACGGGAAGGTAGGGGAAGCTCACGGGCTACCAAGATTGGGAGAACTAAGAGGAATTAGAGTAAACCCAACATAAATCAAGGCTTAAGAGATGATTTCATGGTTGTTCCCTTACCAGAAAACCGAAGCACTCTCACCGGCAAGAGCAACTCGCGGACGACAAAGGGAGGAAGACGCAGAGCAGATCTGGAATTTATGGGTTAAAGGAGAGAGTTCTAGGCTTGAGACTTGGTTCTTGAGCAAGAAAGGAGGGAAAATTCCAAGAGGCCTTCACCGTTTCTCAAGAGGAGGGAAATCGATGGCTGGGAGGGAGGCTTTCGGGAGAAGAAGAGCAGAATTGCACGGCTAAGGAAGAAAGAGAAGGAAAAAGAAATAAGCCATCCTTATCCAATTTCTTTCTCTTTTTAAGCCCCTCGACTTTTGAAAATTTGATGATTAAGTTCAACAATATTATTTTCTCACAATTTGGTCCCTAGCTCACACTTAATTGTTCTTGAAAATTTTGGGGTATTACATCCACCCCTCCTAAAAAGGAGTTTAGTCCCTTAAACTCATACCTCAATCTTGGAAGAGGTGCGGATGTTCTTGTCTCATCTTGGATTCCAACTCCCAAGTAGCTTCTTCAACCGAATGGTTATCCCAGAGGACCTTAACAAAATGAATAGTCCTTCTCCGCATTATCCTCTCCTTGAAATCTAAAATGTGGATCGGGTGCTCGTCATAAGTGAGATCCTCCCGGAGTTGAATTGGTTCGAGATTAATGATGTGACTTGGGTCGAGAACATACTTCTGAAGTAAGGACACGTGAAACACATCATGAACATCCGCTAAATTTCCAAGCAACTCCAATCGATAAGCTACCTCACCAATCCTTTCCAAGATAGGATATGGTCCAATATATCTCGGACTCAATTTTCCTCGGATGCCAAACCTGAGGACACCTCGAGTGGGTGACACCTTCAAAAATACATGGTCACCAACTTCAAACTCAAGGTCTCGTCTCCTTCTATCCGCATAACTTTTCTACCTGCTTTGTGCAGCACGAAGGCATTCTTTGATCAACTGCACAATCTCAGAAGATTATTGCACCAATTCTGGGCCTAAAATGCTCCTTTCGCCCACCTCCGTCCAACAAACAGGTGATCTACACCTTCAACCATACAAAGCCTCAAACAATGCCATGCGGATGCTAGATTGATAACTGTTATTATATGCGAACTCAGCCATGGATAAGTGTTGATCCCACGAACCCTTCCAATCTAGCACACAAGCCCTCAACATGTCCTCAAGTATCTGAATAGTTCTCTCAGATTGCTCATCAGTTTGAGGATGAAAAGCCGTGCTAAAATTCAATTGAGTACCAAGTGCCTGCTGCAAGCTTTTCAATAGAGGTGCCAGTCTGGTAGGGTAAAAAGTGAGCTGATTTGGTCAATCGATCAACGATGACCCAAATGGAATCATTACCCTTTAAGGTTCATGGTAAGCCAGTCACAAAGTCCATGGTGATGTTTTCCCACTTCTATTGGGGAATAGGTAAAGGCTGTAGTTTCCCAGGAAGTCTCTAGTGTTCAGCCTTGACTTTTTGGCAAGTCAGGCATTGTGAGACAAATCTAGCTATCTCCCTCTTCATGTTTCGCCACCAATCTAGCTAGCTTGGTAGATTTGCGTGAGGGAGCAAGGAGCCGCGAGACATGCAGGCAAGCGGGCAACACACAGAAACAGGAAACAAAGAAAACAAACAAGAAACAAAGAAAACAAACAGAAAACAAAAACCCAAAAAAGGCACCCGAAGGGCTTAGTCGCTAACAAACCTCATGGGGTCATCAGAGCAGGGAGCAGGCTCGCTCCATCAGGCTTGAGCAGCCGGAGAACCCGACCGCTCAAGCAGCAAAACTTGGAAGCCCAAGGCTAGAGTGGACATGCCATCGATTGTCCTTACTGGGTTGAAAGAACCCAAATCTAGGTTTGAGAGGAAGAAGAAGAGGGGAAGAGAAGAGAAAGAGAAAGAATAAGAAAAGTTAAAAAAAGTCATGTGGGCCCCATTAAAAGGGAAAGTTTAAAAGGTGATAATATGATGTGTAAAAAAATATGCCACGTGTACAAAAAAAACATGCCATGGTAACAAAATTTTCATAGTTGGATTTACATGTCATTAAGATTCAAAAAGTCTAATGATTTTGTGGCATTTTAACGAGCCACCTGTCATTTAACTGACAAAAGGACCATTTTGGTACCGAAAATGAAAATTTGAGGATAATTTTGGTGCTTTTTGAAGCTGAGGGACAATTTTGGTACCAAAGTGAAAAGTTGAGGGACCAAAATGGTACTTAAACCTAAAATTAATTATAATAATGTAATTACGGCTTCATTTTTATTTTTTTAAAAAAATTATATTATTTTTAAATAAAAAATTAATCATTTTGTCTAATTAACAAATTTTGTTTTTTA